TAGTTTGCAAGAGTAAACTGAAAATGTTTATTTTGACCGTATTCAAAGACACTATTTATATCCAACCGTACAATTTTCAAAAACCCAAATTCGAGGCCTTAACCGATGAAATCAATCGAATTTATGCAAACAAAGTAACGAGAAAATTAGATATCAATTTTTTCAATTCCGTTTTCAAAAAATGAATATCTCGCTTATGAACAGGTGATTCAAGATGTAGGCCTCTGCATCTGCCTATTCGATATCATTACCGCAAGCGAAGAGATAGTTCATTATGGGGACGGAGCAAGTTATGCAAAAGGTATTCGGGAAAATTATCTTTTTTTCTCGGAGAGGTGAAGTGACTGCACTATAAATGTAATTCAACGACTGACCTACAGTATATTACCTTAATAATTATTATATCTCTTCTACTAAATCCGCATAACTTTGCTTTATATTTAGTTACTTTTCGCTTAATTGTATTTCGACCATTTATTGGCGAAATACTTGAAGGGATAGTATCTAGTAATACTACGGAAGGCGTCAAAGGTTAATTATTTGATATTGAATTAGTCGTATTTTAGTTGTTTTATCTTTAATTATTAAACTAACATATACATTATCAAGTGACACTGGGTTATTTTGATGATATACTAATTCCAACGAATCATGACGATAAGTGGAAGTTGTGAGTAACTTTACTTGTGATTACCGATACTTCAAAATATAATACCAAATTTTCTTTGATGATATACTGTAAGTGATCACGAAACACAAGTTTGGGTAAGACTATGGGATAATGTAATTCCCGAAGAAGATTGGGAAACTGTAGAAGACAAATATCTCTATATGTACATGGATAAAGATCTTCCCATAAGATTTCGTGTCATAGACGAAAAATTTACAGATGTTGGCTCAAAAGGTCCACCACCTAAAAGGACCGGTGCAGTAGCAGGACAAAAAGCTCCGATACCTGCGCCCTCATCTTTGCCCTCGGATGTTATGATTAATCCAATTGCTATCGATGCCACTAATGAGTCAGGTGCTGGTGGCGCGGGATCGGGATCGAAACAAGGCCTCTCTCAATCTTCAACGATGTTGGGTAGTAAGCCTACTACACCATTTATCAGCACAAAGCAAGCACCATATGAGCTGATCGGATCGATTGCAGAACGTGGATTGGGTGCGACTGTTTGGAATTGGAGTGCATAAACTTTGTCAGTTAAAAAAAAGTCTTAGTACCTTTGAACCCTTACTTTCATTGATTCTCATGAAAAAAGCAATTGAATTAATTTACTTCCGCGTAGTTAAAAGGAATAAATTAAAATTTGGTATCACTAAAATTTAAATATCAAAACTTTAACCGCACATGACAGCTGATTGGCTGTTTACATCTTATGCATGATAATGCATCTCTTTTTATTACAACTTAATCCACAGTCTTCTTAACAGACATGCACGCCAATATTACAAGACCACAGGTTGGAATGAAGACAATCAGTACTCAAACCTATGTGCAGCATCTCAGGGTGAGTGTTTATGATATGTTTTGCCTTTGCTATTATATTAATCCTTGTACGTCTTGTTGAATGATAAAAGCAATTTTGGACTTCGTTCCTCCGCGTGGATTCAACTTTGAAATTTCAAAAATTCAGACTTCCGTGTTCAAATCTTCCTATACCATGAACACCTTACCGTTGCTCAATGGTTCCATTGGTTACCTCTTTACCTCGCGTCCCTTGGTAGTCGAGCCAAGTTCTCATCTGAGCCTCGATGAGATTGTCGATCGATTTCATATAAATTACACACCTCGACCAATGCCTGTTGAAAGTTTAGTAGAACCAAGTGCCGATGAGAAAATAAAAAAAATCAATGGTAGATTGTTTTTTTTTTTTTTTTTTTTTTTTTTTAATGGAAATATGTATAAACTTTTCATTCTTTAGATTATTTACTGTACGGACGGTTCTATATACCAACCGGAAGACTTGAAGCAATGTATTCCAAAAAATTTTCACCAATGATGCAATGCGTTATCAGAGGTGTCAGTGAGCCTAGAATGAAATCTGCCTCTCACGTAATCACCATTATTATTATTGTTGTTGTTATTTATACTATTATTAAGATCAAATTTTCTAAATACAGTGCACAGCCGAGTTACAGTATGATACTGGAAAATGGTGTACTGAATTCTCTTTTACAACAGATGGGGAATTATTTGGCATAAAAGGGCTATACCATCTGGTGAGGCATAATCCGGAAGAGGACAACTTAGATACAGAAAATAGTTCAAAAGAAATTACGCAGGAAGTTAAAATGCATGAAAGTAACACCGTTAAATTGGCAGCAGTTAATGAGAAGAATTTTAGCGAAGAATTAACCGAAACAGGAGAAAACGAAGAAGTAGAGGCGTTGAAAGGAGAATGGTCTGTGGGTGCTGAAGTTTTTTATGGGGTACAAGAGAGAAGTGGTGGAGGTTTGTATTTATCATCAGGATAAGCCTTTTCCTAATTCGAGAACAACTTTATAGAAATAATCGTTTTGACGTAACGAGAAAAATTCACCACAT